TAGGATAAAATCGCAGCGATGATTGAATAAATACACGGATGTGAGAAAAAAATTTATTTCAATAACATGCAAATATAAATAAAATATTTTATTTATATCCATATCATATTCATTTTCTTTCTCTCGCTTTTCGCTGTTTGCCATGGCGGAACCAGTCCATTACGGACGATCTACCAGATAAAATTTTTTTTTTACTGCCTCTGTAACAAAGAAATTGTGATGAATAAAAAGGTACCAACGAAAAAGCGCATATGTATTAGGATATTCGCATTTTATGTTAAAAATCGTTGTCAACTTATTAATTGAACTATATTCTAGTTTTTTATTATGCTAATAGCTTATCTTTGGTAATTACCTCTTCTTCCTAACCTTAAAGATAAATACAAATTCTGGGATATGAGTCTGGTCTATTAATTAAGAATATTATCCGATATTATCACCCATAATATAACAAGTGGTATGATTATCATCGATGATATTTTCGAATCCATAATTAACCTTATTTATTCAAACTTACCTTAATTTTATTATCGTTTACACCAACCCATCGATCTTTTAGAGTTTATAATTCATTATTTTAATCATTTAACAAACACAGTATTTAAATGTCAACAAATGTCAAATTAAGAAAAGTGTCAAAACGTGTAAACAAGGTGATAAAAAATATTGTCGCTGTGATAAAATGCGTAACCATGGAATACTGGCATTTTATTGGTTCTAATTATAATGAATTGTATTGTCACCCATAATTTAACAAGTGGTATGATTATCATCGATGATATTTTCGAATTGAAACCGAGGTTTTAATAAGTAAATATCATCGATTATTAATCATACCACGAGTTATATTTAGTAAGAAAATATAATGAATTTTAGGATTTAACAAATTGTCAGTTTGACATTTGAAATTAAAATGTGCTTTAAAATATAAAAAGACTTTAATAAACCTTATTTATTCAAACATACCTAAATTTCATTATCGTTTACACCAACCCATCGATCTTTTAGAGTTTATAATTCATTATTTTAATTATAAAGGGTGTATCAATAAGAGCGCAAGATTTAAAAGTTTAGTAAAACATGGTTTTAAGTATTAAAGCATTAAAATATTTATTGATTTATAAAGTACACATTTGGAAATTATGTATAAAATAACACATCTGGTAAATGGCCACCACGGCTTAACTGGCACAAGCGTATTCTTTTGGCAAAATTTGCAATAACATTATTGAATACATGTGGCGGTATTTCGTTGATAGAGCGTCTAATTTCTGCTTTTAAGATGGTGGCGGGCTTGTTGGCAGAAACTTGTGACTTCAAATAACCCCACAGCCAAAAGTCCAAGGGTGTTAAATAGTGGTGAAAATGGGCCTCATCACTGAAAATGATTTTGTCCGCAAAATCGGCATTCACTTCTTGCTGCTCAAGGATCCAATTGGTGAACTCTCTTCGCTGTTCATGGTCTTTAGGCTGGAGTTGTTAAGTCAATTGGACTTTGTAGGCATAAAGATGCAAATCTTAAGTAAGAATTCGCTGAAGAGTGGCTTTTGCAATGTCCAATTCTTGTGCACGATGGCAAATCGACGTCTCTGGACTCTCGGCCACACTCTCGCGAACTGCTGATATATTTTGTTCTGAACGACCTCTACGAGCTCGTGTCGTGTGTTTCACATCACTAACCGAAGCAGTGCTTTCGAATTTTTCGATTATTCTTTTCACAATAGATGAATTAGAAACATTATTTCGAAAAAATATTGGACGCCCTTTACGAATCGTGGCAATCAAACTTTCATCATTTTGATAATAGTGTTTAACAATCAGGACGGGTTGTTCTATCTTGTAATGCTCCATATTAACTAACTCCCATCTGTCTCCTATCAATCTGTCATGTCATTAATCATGTGACATCATGGTTGCCAAACTGAGGCGAAATTCAAATCTTGCGCTCTTATTGATACACCCTTTATAACAAACACAGGATTTAAATGTCAACAAATGTCAAATCAAGAAAAGTGTCAAAATCCTTAGTAACGTGTAAACAAGGTGATAAAAAATATTGTCGCTGTGATAAAATGCGTAACTATGGAATACTGGCATTTGATTGGTTCTTATTTTAATGAATTGTATTGTCACCCATAATATAACAAGTGGTATGATTATCATCGATGATATTTTCGAATTGAAACCGAGCTGCAGATTTCACGAGTCCGCAGGACGAGTGAAATGTGCTGCTTCGGTTTTAATGAGTAAATATCATCGATAATTAATCATACCACGAGTTATATTTAGTGAGAAAATATAATGAATTTTAGGATTTAACGAATTTTTAGTTTGACATTTAAAATTAAAATGTGCTTTAAAATATAAAAAGACTTTAATAAACCTTATTTATTTAAACTTACCTTAATTTCATTATCGTTTACACCAACCCATCGATCTTTTAGAGTTTATAATTCATTATTTTATTGATATATATCAAAAACAGAATTGAAATGACAACAAATGTCAAATCAAAAAAACGTCAAAATTCATAGTAACGTGTAAACAAGATGATAAAAAATATTGCCGCTGTGATAAAATACGTCACTATGGAATACTGGCATTTTATTGGTTCTAATATTAATGAATTATATTGTCATATTAATAAATTTCCGCTTATAACGAACCGTAATGGATCATGAACGATGGTTCGCTTTAAGCGATGTTATTTGCGAAAAAATTAACTAACTAGGACTAGGTTCGTAGATACTATTTGTAGACGTTCTGTGATTGGCCCTCGAATCTTTTTAATCTCAAACCAAAATGAAATCTGCGCAGTTTGACAGCGTATGGGTTTGAGAGTTTCGCGCGCTCGATTTGAATGTGCCGCGGTTAAAAACTCATAATTGTTAAACCTCAACACCACGAAAAGAGTCTCTAAACAAAACGACGGTGAATTTAAGAGAGTTTACATCAGTGTATTAATCTAATTTGCCAATGTATTGTTTATCTGTCTATTTAAATTATAGACATATTAGAGTTAATACGTCCATATGATTTAAATGACGTGGTTGGCTTTAAAAGCAAAACTTGATGCAAATTTATAACTTTTTAAAAATTTGAATAACTATAAAAATTAAATAACATAAATATAATGAAAGACAGATATATATACCTATAGGAAGTAAATAAATATTTATGATGCATATAAATAAAAAAATATTAAAATAGCTGTAGGTACAATTGTGCCCTAAGATATCGAAATAATCAAAATAACATTTTATAACCGTTTTTAACTTAACGTTTATTAAAAAAGACAATACATTGTGTAAACATATGATTAAGCAATATTTCCGAAAACGTGTATGGGACATATAATTGAACTTCTTATATTAACATCCTAAAAATAACATCATATAAACATGAGTTGGGAGATGTTGCATCTGCCAATGTTCATGCGACATACAATTATACATGACATATTAATGTTTTAAAAACAACATCAAATGAACAAGAGACATGGAATGTTTTGTTGGCAAACGTTTCTAGGACTTCACTGTGATTGGACCAGATTGATGTAATTTGCTGGACATCGAAATAACGTTACTATAACAATTAGAGCAAACGTTAAGTTGTGACACTCTGTATTAACGTTGGCCTACGTTAACTTAACATTCTTTGCTTAGTGGGTTACTATTGTATGTAATATATTTATTTACTTATTACTTTTTCTAAAAAATCGGTTATTTCGAAAAGAACTTTCTTCTTCGTTTCACAAAATAAACAGAACTTTAAACGACACTCACTATGTGAAAGCACCGGCTTACGAGTTAAATTTATTGGATCATTATTTAAATTTTATTAAACTTTAATAAATAACTTTTGACGTCTCAAAACACACTTAAGTCGAGGGAAAACAGGCGCCTGTGATTATTGTAACTTTTTAAATACGTCAAAACAGCTGTCAAAATATTTATTTCAAAATGAATAAACCAGTCTTTGAAACAAAAAACGTAAATTGCTCTTTTTTGGCGTAGTGAGTGTATCTAACCCCTTAAATAATGTTCTTATATTTAATGAGGCGAAAAAAAATGCGCTCAGGGAAATATTTTAATTTTTTCATTAATTATTTATTAAAATTTATAACTTTGGGGTTCTCGAACTTTACATCTAACTTTTTTAAACCACACCGTGACCTATATGTATTAAAACAAGAATGCTTCTTCTCAATGGACTAATTTTTAATCTATTATTTTTAAAACATTTTTGATATTATATAATAAATATATATTTGTCACTATTATTCTATAGAATGCATATTGTGTTAGTAATATTGTGCCATTTTTAATATTAAGTTATGTAATACCTTAAGGTAATTACATTGTTAACATTTTATTAAGATTTAACTTTATGTATACCTACTTAGGAAGCAAAAACTACTTTTTAGTTAAAATAACATCTATTTCACGTCTAAAACAAGTCATATGTCCGCCCTAAATAACATCACAAATATGACACCCTAAAATAACGTTATTTTGATGTGAAAGTTACGTTATTTTTAGGATGTCATAAAATAACGTTATTTCAATATCCAAATCACGTTATTTTAGGATGTCATATTTGTGATGTTATTTAGGGCGGACATATGACTTGTTTGGGACGTGAAATACATGTTATTTTAACTAAAAAGTGGTTTTTGCTTCCTGTGTATTTTAACTTATTCTTTGTATATATACAATATCCATATATAAATTGATTTTTAAAATAAAATATATACTATGCTATGCAATAAAATGATATAATTGATAAAAATGAGTTTATTATTAATACAAAGTAACCACAATAGATTATACATACAGATTACCAATAAACGAAAATTTGGACAGAACGATTAATAATATAAAACCAAAATATAATAATAAATTTAAATATATTTAATAGCTCATTCTAAAATAAACCAAAGCGAAAGATAATGCTGCGAACCTTTGAACTGTATACAAAACAAACAGTCTAATGTTTAATTTGGTTCATAACTCAGTTTGCAGACTGTTGGCCAGTTTGCTAAGCTGAAGCTCATAAATACAGTCGAAACTTTATCTTGGCCGCTAAATCATTTACATGTGACATTTGCGTCTGTAAATTATTTTATGTCGCAAGTTGCACGGCTGATAGCGGCGTGCTCTGGCCAGGCTTTATCTACTAAACCATAAAATACACAGGTACTTTGATTTTCCCGTTTCCAGTTCCAGGGCCGTAAAATGACCGGTCAACACATTTTTATAATAACCGCTGCATCAATAATTTTTAATGTTTATGCCATTAAAGTACCGGCGGATTTTAAATTCGGAGTAGCCACTGCTGCCTATCAAGTGGAAGGAGGGTGGAATGCCAGTGGTAAGTGGTTATGTATTTTATCAGATTACAGGGTTAATTTAATTACCTAATGATTTTTAATGTTTTAAAGTTATAATATATTATGATATAGAATCATTTTTTAGGTTATTTAAAAATTACAAATTTTACCAGTAAATATAATTATATAAACGTATACAAATATGCTCTTTTTGTGCATAAAGGTTGGGAAAAACTTAAATGGTGCATTTCTTAGTAATATCAATAGTTTTTTTTATCATAAGTAGGTATATAATCTTCGGGTTTTTATTTTTAAAATAAAAAAATAATTTTTGTTTACTTTTCGAACACTGAAAGATAAGAAGAATAAAAAAATACACTTAGTGTATACAGAAAATGTCATACGTAGGGCGCCCGACAAGTTGTTATGAGCGACAAGCACACTAGTTTGCAGAAATTGAGTCTTTCCACCGATGCAATGCGATGTGGGCGTAAAGGTTTTTTAACATAAGAATATTTTTCTACTCCCACCTTTAAAACGACCATTATCGTACATGTTTCCATGACACTAAGTGACCTCTTAAATACACATTGACAAGTTGTGGCTTTACGGCGTTTTAGTCACGTTAGCGTTAGCGTTAGCAACAGGTTTTTAGTCACGGGCTGAAGTTAGTTTTAAGTTAGTTGACAGTTGTCAAATGTCATACAATCGTTAAAATAAAGTGCCTTTCCTGTAAAATAATACTAAATGTGAAAATTATTTTATTATCTCAATACAAAAATACAAAAGTGTTAAATAGTTTCTCAACGCCAATATTTGAAAAGTTTATATGAACGGCAGTAAACTATAACTTAAATTCGGGCACGGACTCCACTGTAAAACATTTTCTTTACTTTCACTGTAAAAAACTGTCCATTTTCAAGAAATACATTTCGACTTATAACCTTTATAATCTCTCTCTCTCTCTCTCTCTCTCTCTATATATTTTTTATCCACTACGTCCGGAGTACCATAAGCCTCTCCCTCAGTAATGGAATTGGTCTGAGTCGATGTAGCTCTTTTAACCAGTCACCAGTAGATACACGTGGAATTTCAAATCTTGAAACATCCACTAAATCGATTGCACAAATCACAAAATACCTCGCTGAAAGGCTTGCGATATTGTCGAGAAATACCGGTATATTTCTATACCGGGAACCCCATTTTATCCTTCCTGGGTCAAAGTCAACTATTTTCAGACTTTTTCATGGAGCGATGTACAGCCGTTGAAGGATAAAATCGAACTCCAACCTTTATAATCTGTGTTTATAAAATATAAAAATTTGACATTTGACGGTGACACACAGATTCCCCTATTGTTTCATAGATGGCGCTCTATTAAAATTTTTGATTTAAATAATTTTAAGATAATAATAAGTATTTGTCGTAGAAAAAGTATAGTATGCACCTCGTTTATAAACTTTTCTATACAATCATTAATTTAAGGACTCGCTCGCAAGCTCGCTCGTGTCTAAGTTAAATTCGTATATAAAATGGCGTATATCAAACTTGATACATAATATACTATTTTTACACTAGTGTAGTATAGTGTAGTTACAAACAAAGTTGTTCTATTAGTTTAAATTAGTTTAAAACTATACAGTACCTATACTTAATTAAACCTTTGAATAAATATTATTTTTTTAACAATCTAGCTTTAATACAGTTTACAACTGACATTCATAATTTTATTTTAAAATGGCGGCACCAGTAAAAATAGGTAATAATGTTTTTCCATTTATTTTGTTTTATTAAACTAGTACACTAATTAGTTAACATGAGTTTACCTAAGAAATTAAGAGATTTTTAAGGAAAACGTAAATCTGAAAATCAAGATAATGTATTGCAAAAAAATTATCAGACTCATATAAGCCCTTAATATCCATATTAAACCTTGCCACAAAGACAATACATTTTCCATTAAAATAACATGGGGTTTCGGGCCGAAACTTTCGGCACGTTTTACATTTAATTTTTTTTCTCCCGAGCAAGTTAATATACAGCAATAAGAGACACATTTTTATAAGAATTGAACGCTGTACAAAAAAGATTTCATATGATTTATTGATAAAAAGGTTTAATATGAATATTTTTTTTTATAATTTTTTTAATAATTTTCTTAGGTCATAAACTAAAAATTTAGGGGGCGCTGCGAACAAAAAATACAAGTTGGTAAATAACGGACACCCTAATAAGTAGAGAAGTCGGAAAATACCTGCACTTTGAATTCAAAATTTTGTGATGCTTCTGAAACAGTGGTAGATATGTAGGGGCGAAAAAATGTTATTTAACCCGGGGTGCAAAATTTTATAATCCGGCACTGGGGTGTTCAGGAAGTTGGTATACACCATGCTATAAGACGCATACATTTTAATAAAAATTCAATTCAATTGAAACGGTTTATTTGTTGTTATGCATTTTTATATGAAATATGATATCGGGCATATAACAACCCAAGGCGGCGCGCCGCGGCGTCGTGACGCCGCGTATGGAGTACATTAAAGTTTAATATTATATATGACTTAAACAAATGGCGAATGCGCCGGGATTAATGATAACTTTATCTACGCCAGTGAGATAAGAACTTCTTATCCCACTCATTTTGAGTGAGATAAGAAGTTCATTAACGCATGCGTTTTTCTCTGCTTTTAACCAATCAAATAAAAAAGTCAAAATGTCAAAATAACCCTAAATTAAGTCTTAGACAAAAATAATTACCGTTTATTTTTTCATTTAGAGGCGTAGATAAAAATTTGTACAATATACGTGTGATAACGCTTTATTAACGTACTTTTGCGATTGCCCAACTCGTGCTACGCACTCGTTGGGCAAATTTCGCATGCGTACGTTAATAAAGCTCTTATCCCACTTATATCGTAAATAACTATTAATACATTCGAATGATTTTTTTTAATTATCCCACAGAAACCATACGTTTTTTGGTGGTTATAACAATTTAGAAATCATCTCGGGTGTATACACAACTACTTTCAAAAGTTTCATTGCTAGAAAATAAAACAGTAATTATTGATGTGCAGAACACTAATCCACTCAATATAAAATGTCAACGTACTATTTGAAATTATAAAATTTGTAATAAAACCTCACTGGTTATTTTGACAGTGCCAAAAAATATAGTGAGCAATAGCAATATAGCGATTAATATTATTTCTAATAGTTAATTGAATGGATTGGGAATAAACGCATAACATAATTCCTTGGGTGGGCATATACCCCAATGGAGCTTTTTAACTTTTTAAAATATTTATTAATGAAAGCGTTCATATGTAAATTAACGTTTTTAAAAAGTATAATTTATATAAAATGATCATTCTGTCAAGTATAGCACCAAAATGAACAATAGCGTTATAAATTATAATAGTATATTTACAAAACGAGCGACGAAGAAGCGAGGTTTGTAAAGGACAAGTGCAAGGAAGTCTTGAGTTATTAAAAGTATGTTTTTCTATTTGTCAAAATTTTAATAAAAAAACGAATTATAAAATATATTTGCGTATCGTACTGTTACCATGAAGACAATACGAAACGCAAGTGCGTATCGGACTGTGCTTATTATGGTAAACAAATATAAAATGAATATATTATGATACAAGGGTCTACGAAAAACTTTATCGCACTAGCGACATTAATTACATGCACGGATTTTTTATTTATTTTTTAATTCTAGAAATTTTCAATTAATAATTTTTTTGTAAATATTGAAAATGTTGAAAATTGTTCATTTAAAGTAAAATTTAATGTTGTTATCCACAATTCACATAATATGTAAATTGAGTATAAGACCCTAGTGTATTACACAAGAGCATATTAATTATAATAATTACCATAATTATTTGTGACCAATTATAATTATGCACACTAGTGTCTCGAAAAATAAATTAAAAGACATGTTTTAGGACATTAAATTTTAAATTGTGTAAATTCCAAAAGATTCATAAATAAAATCTTATTTTTTTTTATTTGTCAGCGCGTTAAGTTTTTATGATACTTTTATCTTTTGCAATGTCCATAAAATAATTTTTAAAATAACAAAATAAACTAAAATTGAAATGGTTGGACTCCCCTAACGCCTGAAAGTATAAAACCCGTAATACAATATTAAATTTTAAAATAATATTTTATTCCGTTTTGTAAATAAGTCAACTAAGGAAAGTTTTGCTAAAGAAATATGGCATCTGGTGATGTTAAAACCGATAAACAACCACTTAAGATATTTTGGAATGCAAAAGGGATCCTCCCAAGTTCAATATTCAGGGGGTGTCCATATATTATATGCAAAATTAAATTAGTTAAATTATTTAAATAAAAATCGGTAACGTATACGACAATGCTATTACTTTGTACTACGAGTACACCCCGTATTATGTTTTGCAAGGTATACCTCTCTACAGGACGTCCTTTTGTCAGATAATAATGAACCAATTTATTGCATATTAAAATGTGTTATTTAAATAGTTAGTTAGTTAAATAATGTGAACTTGTTTAGTATTAAGTTAGTAATAGTTTTAATTGTTATGTTCAATACAATTGTTGTAATTTAGTTTTTCAGTACCTAATCTTATTATCGGTCTAAAAACCGAATAGTTGAACTTGAATTTGGGTGTATTATTTTCTAAAGTAGTACCGAAGCGGTACTATTCTAATTGTTAAAATATTTTATTGTAAAAAACCAATATTTCGGAAAAACCCAATCAACCAGAACAAAATTTGACTCTAAGGGCACACTTAAAATTATAATTATTTGACTGGGATACTAGACTACAAAAATATCTATCCCAAATGTCTTGTCCACTTAAAAATGTTAAAACACTATTTTATCTTATGCCATGTCACACATATGGTTTACTTTTTCCAACTTTGGGGAAAGACAAAGAACGATATATGAGAGGAGGTTGATCCAAAGTTGCGTGAACCGATTTTGGCAGTCAGTTTCCAGTTCTAGCTGAGTGCGGACGTTTTTCCAAAAACTCCTGTTCTCTAA